ACACATTATATAAAGGTTAGAGATTGATTTGCATTTCAGTGAGTGAAATAAGTATTTGATCCCCTACCAACCAGCAAGAATTCTGGCTCCCACAGATTGGTTATGTGCCCATGTGGAGAACAGATTAGTCCTGTCACTTTAAGAAGTTACTCCTAATGTTTTGGTTGATATTCTGTCTCTATCTGTTAAAATAAACCTACCATAAAAATTACAGACCCTTCATTTCTTTGTAAGTGGGCAAACTTACAAAATCATTAGGGGATCAAATAAATATTTTTCCCCACTGTAAATCATTCCATAAACCAAACGTAAAATGTGACTTCATATATAGTTTTGAAAAGCAGTATGAGGAACATGTCTACTCTAATAAACCTGAGTCTCTGATGTGTTAATAATCAAAGAAGTATTCCTAGCATTCCTAATTCATAAATAAATCAAGCAGCACTCAGGGCCGTTCCATGGCAAATGGGATTCATCAAGGCATCTACAGCAATGCTAACTGAAAGCTACAGAATAGAGAAGTGGCAATTCTTTAAATCGGTCCACAGAGCAGCAGAACCTTGCAATATTTTCTTTAACACTTCAAAAAACTTTAGAGTGAAGGAAAGACCACAGTAGCATTACTCACCGGCAGTGAAGTCCTTGTTAAGGTCGATGAAAGCATTGGAATGAGGGACACGCATTTTGACTTCCAAGCTGAGAGCCGTCTCACATTTCTGTTGCCTGACAAACAATAAAACAGCATGCTTTGTACACTGTACACCTGTTCTCTTGACATAGGCAGACAAACTAAAAACAAGCTATCGTATATTTAGGAAGACAGTCTTACCGACTCCTGAGATAGCAAACCTCTGACGAACCACCCACAGATCCAAAAATGTCTGGAATCATGTCCCCATTAAAGCTGAACGTGGAAAAGAGGAAGCAGCATTAGACCTCTGCAAAAGCAAAAACTTCACAAGGGAAGATTGCAATTGTATACTCAAAGGATTGAGTAGTGCAAAGCTTATATGATATATTTTAAGTTAAACTTTGAGGGAATGATTTTAAGACATCAAGAAGAACTGTGCTCACTTACTGTATGTTTAAAATGAACACAATCCTCATCAGTGATTTGTAGTGTTTAAGACCAAGATCATATCTGGATATTATATAATGTATATATAATTTCCCAAAACACCCTTGAATTAACCCTTAAATGCATGGATGTTTCGCCAATCATTCTTACATATTCGGGTCTTTAGCGACACGGACCTATATATCCAACACGGATGGATCTCTAACTGCTGCAATAGCATAAAACGCACATGACATTTTAATAACAATTACAAAATAATAAAATATTGCATATTTCGTTACCGTTTGAAACTTAGAAGGGTTCAATTTGAGCAGATGATTTTACAATCACTGTCATTGTCAGAACGCACTTCCCCAGTACATTCAGCACCTGTCTCATATTCATGATCTCCATATTCTCAAAACTATTGTTTTCAACGTCTTTAAAATCAGTATTTTGATCGTTGGCAGCTTATTCACCACATTCATCATCAAATGACAGTGACACATATTTCATTGCATATAGCAATTGCTCTGCAGTAAAGCCATTCAAGCCAGTTAAATTTTTGCTGATGATATTCTTTTGTTTTATACCTGCAGTAATTATGAGTGAATTATCACGTCATCATTGTCTATCAAACAGTGCCACCTTGAGGAATAAAGGTGAATTGCACTTATTGAGTCATCCGATAATTAATTATTGTTGCGCAGGAAAAATATAATTGGGAAAAATGTAATTATTGTTGTGCAGGGAAAAATTATACCTCGGGTCGCTAGCGACCCTATAAGCTTTTTACAAAAAATTAATCAGAAAACAGACATTATTTTATTTTATTTTGTTTTTTTCTTGTTATATTGTTTATAATGAATAGATTGAGGAATAGTAAAAAAGTTGATGTCTAACTTTAAAAAATGAAGGAGGGAAAGGGTAGTGAATGATGTCCCGGGTCGCTAAAGACCCAAGGTATGCATTTAAAGGTTAAAAACAATATATTGCACTTACTCCATGACAAGGGGCTGATCATTAAAGGTTCTGTTCAGATCTACCCTATGACTCTGGTCTGTAAGAGAAGAGATAACATTTACAAAAAACTGCACACATTGCTGCTGTAGTATAATTTCTGTTGCTCTAAAACCATCAATTTAGGCAAAAATATTTAATAAATGAACCAACCGGAGCCAAGGTAATGTATAGAACTTTGTGATAGCACTTTAAAGGGTTAGTTCACCCAAATATGAAAATTAGGCTGTGTTTTACTTACCCTCGAAGCATCCTAGGTGTATATGACGTTCTTCTTTCAGACGAATCCAATCGGAGTTACAGTATTTCACAGAAGTGAGTACACCCCTCACATTTTTGTAAATATTTTATTATATCTTTTCATGTGACAACACTGAAGAAATGACACTTTGCTACAATGTAAAGTAGTGAGTGTACAGCTTGTATAACAGTACAGATTTGCTGTCCCCTCAAAATAACTCAACATACAGCCATTAATGTCTAAACCGCTGGCCACAAAAGTGAGTACACCCCTAAGTGAAAATATCCAAATTGGGCCCAATTAGCCATTTTCTCTCCCCGGTGTCATGTGACTCATTAGTGTTACAAGGTCTCAGGTGTGAATGGGGAGCAGGTGTGTTAAATTTAA